ATAATCTTCAGCAATCTTTCTCAAACTTTTAGCTTTCTGAAGAAGTATGACCTTCTTCGCGATGTCAGTTGCCTTTAGGATAGCCAAGAGCATTCGCTTCAGAGCCCTTTGGGTGACAAGCGCTGGGGAAAAAAGTGCATCTTTCCAGGATTTCACTAGCTCTACCTTTGGGACAGCCAAGAGCATTCGCTTCGGAGCCTCTTGGGTAACGGGTGCTATCTCCACCTTTCGCGATTTCTGAACCACCGAAGTGTAGGTTAGCTTTTTGACAATTGCTTCAGCATTCCTATAACAAAAGAATACGTCAGTAAGTTTCAAATATATATATATATATATATTTTTGTGTTCTTCAAAAGATGGGAGGAGAAATAGGTCCCACTGGGTGTACCAGAAATTGTAGACACAAATTTTAAAACATGAAATGTTTCGACACATTTCAAAATTTTATGTTACAAATGTCCACTTTTTAGTTTTTGGACTAAACAGTGTTGATTATTTAAATAGCAAGTTTTTATTTCCGATCTGTATTCCATATCGTTAATTACACATTTTATATAAATGAAACCCCCGATTAATGAATAACAAAATAAATAACAGAAGACAATTTAAGAAAAATAAATATTTTATTAAAATTGTTATGGGTTTTGAACTCTTGAATTCAAAGTACAATTCTTGGGTTTGGAACCCTTTATCTATTCATCGTCATTCTGCGTTTGTAGCGTAGGCTCTTAAGTTCTCTGCGCTTCTTTTCTTCTTTCTTGTAACGACTTCTTTAGCTCTTGATTTCTCTCTCTCTCTCTCTCTCTCTCTCTCTCTCTCTCTCTATCTACTTCTGATTTTTCTGATCCTTGATCTTGTGTGATGGTCCTCATGTTTATAAAGGTCATCCAGGTGATAAGAATGCCTCATCCTCAATTTGAATTTCAAATTGAATGATAGCGCCAGTTGAATTTTGAATGATAGCGCTATATGATTAATCGTATATATAATTAACCGGATTGATCTTTGGGGTTTCATTCTGTGTGGTGTCCTTGTTGTAGGCTCTACAGGTGTCATATTTCGTAAGCTCCACGTGTCACTTGAGTATCTTGAATAACATCGCTAAGATACGACTTTATTTATACACTTCAACGGATCAAGTTGATTATTTTAGAAAGTGATTACCTACAACAATCCTACCATAGGCCCTATGTGTGTCATTAACTGATTGACCGTAATTGAAATTTGAACATAAATTTGGTTGAAATTTATGTGCCAACAATGTCACCACCAGGCAGCCAAAGGACAGTCACGTCCTACATGTCTAGCAACTCTTCCTCCCCAAAGTAAACCAAATTCTCAAGAAAGTTTCTCTTCTTCAAAGTCTCTATGCAAAGGTACACATAAGGAGTGCCATTGTTTTCCTCTGTTAGCATCTCTTCTTCTTCACCATAGATCGGTGTAGCACTCACCTCAAACACCTTCCAAGAACCAGTCAACTTTGATGGCTGAGTTCTTTTTCTCTAAGAAAATGGCTTCAAATCAAACTCTAGATCGCTGTGACAATGATATGTAAGACATTACTTTCATATAAAGCATGTAGCCTCGTATTATTCAGGCTTCTAACATTCCATATAAAGCTCTAGGAGTAATAGTACCATAATTCAAAAAATAGGAAATGGAAGAACAACATGTTCAAAAAGTTTTTGAAAAAAGAAATTCAGAGAAAGATGATCAAGTGTACCAGAATCTCACAACTTGGCCCTAGTCATCATTCTAGGTGAAGGGAAGGAAACCACTTCAAATGAAATCTCAAAATCTACACAACTAGAAATAAAAGCCCTTCCAACTATACCAAGGAAGAAAATAACACTTAGGAGTTGGTGTCTCTTCCTAATGAAAAAAAACCAGTCAGATGTAAGTGGCTGTTCACCATTAAGCACAATGCAGATGGGACGATTAAACAGTACAAAGTAAGACTAGTGGCCAAAGGATTTACCCAGACATATGGAATAGACTATCAAGAAACTTTTGCCCCTGTAGCGAAAATGAATTCCATTCGAGCTATTCTTTCATGTACTGCTAATTTGGGATGGCCTTTACAGCAACTAGATATGAAGAATGCCTTTCTTCGTAGAGAGTTGGAGGAAGAGGTATTTATGGATGTACGTCAAGGATTCTCATCTCAGTCTACAGTTGGAAAGGTTTATAGATTGAAGAAGGCTTTGTGTGATTTAAAACGATCTCCTTGAGCCTGGTTTGGTAGATTCCTAAAGGCCATGTTGGGATTTGGGTATAAACAAAGCAATGCAGATCACACCTTGTTTGTCAGACGCAATGTACATAAGGTAACAGTGCTTATTGTATATGTGGATGACATAGTTGTAACAGGTAATGATGAGGAGGAGGTGACCCATCTCAAGATGCAGTTAGATAAGGAGTTTAAGATCAAAGACCTTAGTCCGTTGAGGTACTTTCTTAGGATTGAAGTTGCCAGATCTGATAAAGGTGTTTTTATTTATCAAAGAAAGTATATTCTAGATCTTCTTGAGAAAATGGGCATGTTGGGCTGCAGACCAGCTGATTCACCGATTGAGACCAATCATCATCTTTGTAGTAGGGTTGGTGAGCTTGTGGACAAGGAAAGGTACCAAAGACTTGTGGGAAGACTGATATATCTATCTCATACTCGTTCAAATATTGCCTATGCAGTTGGGATAGTGAGTTTGTTTATACATGATCCTCATGCAACTCATTTGGATGCAGTCTATCGCATTTTGAGGTACCTTAAATCTGCCCCTGGAAAAGGAATTTTGTTCTCTAATTATGGTCACTTGAGGTTAGAAACATTCACAGATGCAGATTGGGCAGGCTCTATAGATGACAGACGCTCTACCTCCGGTTACTGTGCTTTTGTAGGGGCAAATCTAGTCACATGGCATAGTAAAAAGTAGGTGGTAGTATCCAGATCTAGTTCTGAAGCTGAATACAGAGTTATGGCACATGGAACATGTGAACTGATATAGTTTCAATCTTTTTTGAGTGATATAGGACTTGATTGCAGTGATCCCATGACTTTGTATTGCGACAACAAGGCTACCATTAGTACTGCGCACAATCCTGTTCAACATGACCAGATTAAGCATATTGACATTGGCAAACATTTCATTAAGGAGAAGTTGAATAAGGGTGTGATATGTATGCCTTTTGTTAAGTCTGAAGATCAACTAGCGAATGTTTTTACTAAGGGTCTTAGTAGTAAGGTCTTTCAACCCATTTGTTGCAAGTTGGGCATGAGAGACATCTTTGCACCAACTTGAGGGGAGTGTTAAGTGTTAGGGGTAGTTTGGTCTTTATGTCTTATTCTTATTATCATAAATAGTTGTGTGTAAGGGGGAAGTCCTATGTTTTTGAATCAATATTATATACAGCAGCCGTTTCTCTCTCTTTACAACTTCTTCTTCTCATTTGTACATTTAACATAAAATATACATTTTAACGTAAAAGAGTTAACAACATTTTATCATCTATATGACTAACAAATTATTGATGAAAAAAATGGTTAAGTATTATGTAAATTATAATCTTAAGAAAACCTAATATAATTATACCAAACTTATATGAGTTACTCTTATTCGTTGCTAATTAATCCCATGCTAATTGATCCCATTTTACTACCAAACTCATTTTTAGTCGCTATGAGAACTTTTCTGCAACTAAACCCCAACCGTGGTTGCAAAAAGCTTCCTATGAGATGACCTTTTGTTGACGAATCAGTGATCAAAAGATGTTGGTCTCATAAAGTTTTCCACGATGAAATAAGCACTTTTGGCGATCATAATTTTGGTCACAGGTGTTTTTTCTTGTAGGGCACATAGGAAGTGTGATCTAGTGAAAAGCTGGATTGCATGTTGATTGTAAAACCATGTTGTGTCACGGGTTATGTGAATTAATGTGGGTGAATCAGGGAAGTCCGCACACCATGATTTGTGAAAAAATTGAAAACAAATATATTGGCATCACCATCACCCTACTCAGCTAGTAAAATTTCACTTCTATCTTTTACCTCTCATGGGATACTTGAAATGAAGCAAAAATAACACAGGAAATTTGAAAAAAAAAACAAAAAACAAAAGACAAAACAAATGGTGAAGAGAGACTTTCGATTTTTTCAAACATCTTTGGTTATGTTTTGCATGACAGATTAAAATCTTCTCCATAATCAATGATTATAAAAGATACACATCAAAAAATATTTATTTGAAATTAAAAATTCATTAATGGAAGGGAGGCACCTAACATATAAACAATCAATTTTGAAGAAGAGAAATAAAGAAAGAAAAGTCTAAGAAGTAACTTCTTGCTCTTGCTTTTTAAAAACAAAGCTGCTACGTAACTCGAAAAGCACTTGGCCCAAAATGGCTCAAATCCAAAATGACTTCGTTTTGGATTTTTTTTTTTTTTTTCGTTCTCTTTTATCATCTGTTTCTTCTCCTCTTCTTTTGTTCACAATCACCAAACTGAAATCAAAATCAAAATTTTTTTTCAATCAGACCACACATCATCATCATCATCAACACATCTCTGTTCTTGCTCTGTACAAAAAAATCAAATGGGTTTTTTTTTTTTTTTTAATTTCTGGAATTCAATTGGGTGAGTTAGAGAGAGAATGGAAGTTTTGTGAGAACTCTAAAAGTTTATAATAAATTTGTAATTTTATCAAATTAAAAAATAAATTTAAATAGTGTTGGGATTACAATTGTATTTTAATCCTAATATTATTTGCACCGTGCCTTCAGGTACAGACATACACTAGTAAATAAATAAAATAAAAACAAATGAGAGAAAGAGAGAGAAGAAAAGAAAAGAAAAGGAAAAAAAAAAAAGCCCAAAACGACGTCGTTTTGAACTGTTGAGCCATTCGGGGCAAAAGAATTTCGAGCTGCAAAGGATTATTCTTTTAAAAATAATGTACATTACCTACTTCAGGAGCTAGCTTGTCTATATAACACCCTTTCATACCATTAACCATTTTTGTGCCTCTCTCTCTCTCTATTTCTCTTTATCAATTTTACTCATAAATAGCATATAAGAAAGAGAATAAAAAGCTGTAGTCAATATTCAACAATGGCCATGGTAGCTGCTCTGATGATGATCCTCGTGATCGCTGCTCCGGCAGCATACGCAACACAGTACACTGTTGGAGACGCCTCAGGCTGGGCCCAGCAAGTCAATTATATCACTTGGGTTTCTGGCAAAACATTCAGAGTTGGTGACACTCTCTGTAAGTTGGTTTATTTTCATTTTGGGATTCATGAGATAAAAAGGTTTTTTTTGAAATGTTGGTTAAAAGTTACTATTTTTTGGCTTATTTTTATTTATTTTTTTTAAAACATGTAAAAAAAATAAAAAGATGATATGACCTAAAAAAATTAAAAAACCAAAAAGTTGGCTTTTAATCAGCTATCCAAAAGAGGCAATTTTAGATTAAAAAAAATCCAAAAGCCAAAAAATTGGCTTTTAATCAGCTACCCAAAAGAGGCAATTTTAGATGTTTTTACATGCATATAAGTTTTTTAGCAATTAGTCTAAAAACACACAAACAAATACAAAAAGCACAAAAGTCACATTGGTTAAGAGTGAAGTTTTCTTGGTCAAAGTGGTACAAATTTATCATAAATGAGGCCTCTTGGTTATTTATAGTTTTTGAAAATTCCTATACAGAGTGATGATATACAAATAAATTTTTTATTAAAAAACCCTATACAGAATGATATGATTTTTTGTAGTCCTTTTAATTTCAATCGAAACATCTATCATTGTTCTTATAATTTTTAAATATCATTGATATGTCATTCTGGATGTGTTTCCCTCTATGAATATTCTTTCTGTATGCAAAACACTTTCCTTTCTAGGAAGAGTGTTACGTTGAGAACCTTTTAGCCTGCATGCACAGGGTATAGCTGTGGATGCAACTGATAGCTATGGATTTAGCAGTTCTTAATCCTACTTGTTAGATTTTAAATTCTACATTTTTGGGGGCATATTCTACACATTTCTAGTAGTTGAATTTTGTATGCTTCAATTTGTTTAGCATAGTTGTTAGAATTATTAGAAGTACTCAACCCAAAATCAATGGATTTTAGGTAAAGAAATCTTTAGACTATATTTAACAAACTCGTATGGGTTAAAAAGACAATATGAGACAAGTATCTAACAACCGCGAAAAAACAATTTTTTTATTGGGCTTTTTTTTCTTTTTTTTTTTTTTTGGTCTCTACTTTCGTATATCCATAAAACCATTACAAAGCTCCAATGATCCAAATGATCAATTGGCTAATCTTTAATAAATTGATTTTAATCCACTTTTGACTCAACATGCAGGCCTTCCTTATTTAAAAACATCACCAAGTCAAGGTGCTTTTCTCATATTAAGCTAATTTGCTATCTTAATTTCTAAATTAGGCTTAGTTTGGACGAAATTTTCAAACTAAAATAAAGCGCTATTATAAGTCACGCTTTCACTGTTTGGAGTTGAAAATTTGATGAATAGTGAAAGCGCTATTACAAATCACGCTTTTAATTAAGAAAGCGTGGTTACAAACTACGCTTTTAAAGTAAGTTTGTGAAAACATGGTTCCAAACCACGCTTTCACTATGTTGTGAAAAAAGCATGGTTAGAAACTACACTTTCAACATTGTCCCAAACACACAAACACACTCACAAACTCTCTCTCTCTCTCTCTCTCTCACTCTGACACAAATACAAACAAACACAAACATAACTCACACACACACATACTCACACTCAATATATATATGAATTTTAATATATATTTATAATTTAATATATATATATATATATATAAATTTTATTTCATAAAATTGAAATCAATATTAAATATATATAATAATTTATAAT